TAAAGATTAAGTTGGACCATTTGGCTCGTCTCCATTATTTTTTATTTTTCAATGTTGTTAGTGTATACAATCCTGTTAACGAACCTTAGATTGGTGTTGAGCACTCAAGGAAACAAGAAGTGGACTTGAATAAATCAAAATCACCTCACAACTGTACAGGTAAAAGCCCATCGTTGGGGCATATGCCCTTTCTCAGCACCGATGACTATAATATATTAACACTTATCAATCGATTATTCAATTGAAATGACTTATTGCACAGAAACCTTCACAATTTTCGAGAATTGTCTGGAACACTAGGACAGTATGGAACCTACGCACTGTTATGCTTTGTAGAAAAATACGAATTTCATGTGAAATGTCAACAACCATTAAGTCTGATCGACTTGTAGAATGAACTGTCAGATTTTGAAGAAAAACGAATCGTAGACTTGTTGCTTCTACCTAGTCTGAATTCGTTGGTGGGGGCATCTGGAGGAAGTAAAACATATTCCGGGACATCTTATGTAATTGAATGTGGTTCAAGATCAAATTCTTTTCCAGTATCAGTTTGAATAACCTTCCACCAAGTCTTTCGTCATCTTACAACTTCCTCCCATTGTAAAAAACAGCATTCATAGTTTTATAAGTAAATTATTTTTTAGGGTCTTCACCAAACGAAAGCTAAGTCAGTAGTTCAATTAAGAACATAAATGATATCATGTATTTAAGGTAGCTAAAAGAGCATATTCTGATGTTTTGCAGGCCGAATGGATTTTGGAGTAACTGGTGCGGTTGTGGCGGAGATAATTAAAAACCTTAAAGACGCAATAAAAATAGAAGAGATATTTGATACCAGTCTCAACTTATTCAAGAAAATACCCATTATTGGCATAATTGCCAACAGAATAGAGTTCATGCTCAAAACGTGCAAATGCTTCAAAACCGCTATCAACCATTTTCTGGACACTGTAATGTGCCTTAATTGTTAAGATAAAGTAAACAATATTATAAGCAATTAATACTTCAGTGTATATGATAAAAATAAACTTACGTTGAGAAATCTGCCTTCACTTACAGATTACCTGAAAATGTGACCTTAACGAACCACTGTTAACGTGGTATGTCATAATTTAAGTATGCGAAAATCACAGGATAACTCATAGATTACTGGCGATGGCGTAGAATGTGCGACAATGCTCTATTCCAATTTGGTACACATGACTGTACCCAATAACTGTCAGAAACGATAATGTTGCTCTGCAAGTCACTAAGAGAATATAACGTCATTTACATTGTGTACAAGCTACCCGATAATGTTGATTCCACATCTTTTAATCTAATCATATTGGACGAAAGATCCCATGGTTTGTGAAATAACCGTAATATTGGATTTTATTGAGGGGGGGGGGGACATTTAAAACTTGGGCGTATAAAATAGATGGAAATTTTGCCGGAAAAAATTTTGTCTACAACAAAGAATGAAAACAATAATCGAAAATGATTCCAAATAAAATTAGTAGGAACTTAACATACCTACAAAATGAGACTGCTCATAAAAAGGTCCGATCAAAAGCAAAAAAGTTATGGCCAAAAACCCCGTCGAAATGCAGATCTTGGCATTTGTGGGTAATTCATTTTCATGTCATTTCTCTATTAGTTCTGTTGGACCATCATAAGATGATATAGAACACGTCAATGGAAACAATAGTGTAAAAAATATACAGAAAATAAATAAATAATTAGATAACACACACTAGTGTATACAGTCAAAATAAACAAACATTAAAATATAAAACGGACATTTAACTAAAAACAAACATTGAAAAAACGTGGAAGGCACAGATTAAAATATCGCTATGTGATAATTATATGAATAAAATAAATAAAATTCAAAAAAACATAGAATATAAAATGAATAAGGACGGTAACTGCTGAAATTGAGATATAGGATATCACACACGATTATAAACTATATTGTCAGAACTACTCCTACTGGTCGTTTGTTAGGGTGTCTGACAAGTACTCATCCTAAGAGTAATATGCTTTACTTTTTAATAAAGCCATAATTTCATATAAAATAGCGAGTGGCAGGGCCCTGAGGGTGTTTGGCAATTTGTTGAACAACTTAACACCCATTTGGTGTGGACTGCATTCTGTTCTAAATAATCTGTGCGTGGGAACCTGTAGGATAAGCGAACTTCTTGTTAAGTACCTGTTATGGTCGTTCAGCTTCTAAAATCATCTAAATTAGACTTTACCTGTAACAACAGCTCGAAAATGTATATGGATGACAGAGTTAGTACTCCCAGCTGTTTGAAAGAAGCTCTACAGCTAGACCTTCTGTTTAGACTTTGAACTAAACGTATCATTCTCTTTTGCATAGTAAATACTCATTTCGTTTCAGCGGAAATACCCCAGGCTATGATGCCATGACAAAGTTGACTGTACATATGCATAGTAGTAAGTCAACAACAAAGATTTGTCAACGATAAAACGTAACTGACTAGTGCAGTATGTAAGGAGCAATCTTTTTCCATATATGGTCAATATGAGTATCTCACTTTAAGCAGCTGTTTATGTGGATACTCAACAATATGACAAAGTCGACCTGTTGAATGGAACCATCAAGTGACTTAACCAGCAAACTATGATCGACGTTAGAGCTTGCATAACAGAACCTAACAAATTGAGTTTTATTTGCATTGAGCAGGAGCCCATTATTTTGGAACCATTGCTGTGTTCTCTGTAGCTCTTCAGTAGCACCGATCGGTAGAGATGTTGAATTTTTGCAATCTACTAATAAAGATGTATCATCCGCATATATAACACAATTAGTGCTACTGAAGTCATTTACAAAAATTATATAAAGCAATGGTCCCAATATATAGCCCTGCGGAACTCCCACTTCACTCCTACGCATTTCGGATCTGCGATTTTCAATTTCAACATATTGTGTTCTGTTGGACAAATAATCACGAAACCATTCAAGCGGAAGTCCCCGGCTTCCATAGTATTCAAGTTTTGTCAACAACTGCCCACAATCTGGAGGTAGTGTCATCCAAATACTGGCTTGGACTGGCTAGTTGTTAATCCCAAAACACCTGTTTTCCATGCAGCATCACGAAGTCATGAAGCTTAGTAAATTTTATAGCAATATACTCTAATTTTCCCACCTCACCACCCATTTCGCGAGCTAAATTTTTTTTGATGCGTAAAACAAATTTTTCAAAAGGTATTTTTGAGAATTCTGACAAATGTGTTACGATATTCGAAAAACATAGGTTATTATATAATTTTAAAACAAGGCGGTGGTATCTATGATTTTGATGCAAAAAAGAATTTAGTTTCAAAATATTTTCATTCTCTTGTTTATACATATTTAGGACTGAACTTTTTAAAGTTTATTAAAAAAAATAAGTTTAATACTAAAGTAATAAGTACTAAAACTAAAGATACGCTTATGGTTAACCGAGTTAATATGCGTGCTCAGAACAATGGCTGCATGATTTTGTCGAATAGGTGGGCCACGCTAAACATATTGAAAATCTAGTTCTCTTAACCTTTTTTGGAAAAGTTCCACCATAGTATACGTTTATTCCTCAAATCTCAACCTATCAAAATAACTCCAGTTCCAAAGTAATGGAGAACAAACCCCAAAAGGCGTAAAAAAAGGTAGACTAATAGAAACCAGTTATGCTGGAATCTGCAACAGTTACTTGTTTTGTATTTTGCCCCATTAAATAATCAAAATAATATAGGGGTTCATTCGATATGTTTTGAGGCCCTCTATCACCTGACTTCCGTTGATCCGCTGCTAACTTTAGTGTAAGTAGTGGAAAAATTCTATACATATCTTATTTGAAATCGCCACTATTGATCCGCTTTACAAACTAGGCAACTTAATGTACTATTTATATTTGTGTACCTTTATCGTAATCAAACAGCATTTCACATGAAATAAGTATTATAATCGGAAAAACAGTTAAACATTTCCGAAAGTTTGTTTTCTTTGAAAAGTAACGTAGACGTACAAAAATCTTCGTTTGTGATATTCAAATTTCCGATGCGTAATGGTCAAAGGACCTCTTGCAGCCACAAAGGATATTCATAAGATTTTTGTATCCGACTTTGAGAGTTCGCCCTCCTTTAAGGACGTAATCAAGTTAGATAACAATTAATTCGCTAACTCAAATGTGTCCTAAAAGGATCTCAAAAATGTACGAAGGATGTTTAAAAAACATGATATAAAAATCCAGGAGGCGATTGTTTAGTCCATTTTAAAAAACAAACTGCATACAAACGGTGTCCTAAAGTTTACGAGTGATAAAAAATGTGAATAGAGCACATACTAACGTCGCATGTCCTTTCTTTTCAACAACCTGTATGGAAGAGTATCCTTAATACTTATTGTCTGATTGTTTTATGGTGCGTATATAGATGCCGGAAAAACAATGATATGAGTTTCCTTTTTGTAAAAAAATGCATCTTTGTGCATTTTTTATGCATTTTTTCTTCAGTTGTAACTTGTTAACAAGTAATAGTACAGCTCTAAAATTGTGTGTGGATAGTCCACTTTTATGGAAGAATTGAGTGGGTGAATACCTTTTTCTTACCGCTTTCTCTCTTCAAAATATCTTTGCTTCTATAAAAGTGGAATTTTGACGCAATTGCGTTGTACTAATATTTGTTAACAAGTTACGATTGAAAAAATGCATTTTTAAGGCAAAAAAATGGATAAGATGGTTTATATATAAGATGTTGCCGAAATGGCCGTTCGGGTTATTAAAAAATTTTATTTTAACTGTACATAACTTGAAATATTTTACAATGGATAAAATGTACAATACAACGAACAAACGAGGAATCTGCGGAAAGCATGGGGAACCTCTATTTATCATCTCGGGCTTGGATGCTTTCCTCAGCATTTTCTTCTTCCACGTGCATCCTTTTCTGCATCATAACTTATATATGACATGCTAAAAATATAAGGTCAGTTTTATGGTATATCAACGTTTTACTTATCAGTATCTTTACTTAAGTCATGACGCGTTATTATATCACGTAATATGTTGTCATAACTGACAAGGGCTTCAGTTTATAAGGCGTGTTACACGTCAACGCATCGGTTGAAACTTTTGTGCATGATTCTGCCTCCATATTACAAAGTGTTGGTTGTCATCCTGAAATGCCTGATTAGCAAGTGTTGCATACTAGACACTTGCGGTAGACCTCTGAATGAAGAATTTGAAACTATTTTTTAATGGATGGAGGCAAACAGTCGGATAAGACGTACATGTTTTAAATTCTTAAAGAAGCTGTACGTTATGCCTCCTTTAAACTACATAATATGGATCATATCAAGGATAGCGTAAACATGATGTAAGTACAGAAAAGCCAAGACACCATTAGTTATATTAAGTTAGTGGAATATGTCAATATACTTGATCCATAATTCTTTGGACAAACCCTGCACAGTTTCACCACTCGCCAGGTCGGGTTTTGGACCCAGTTCATGTTTCGCTGTTTCGCAGCTTCAGCGAAAAATTAGAGCTTTACTTCAGCATAGCTTTGATGTGTAACTGTTATTTGATTCCAATCGCGACATCCACATCCACATTTGATTTTCGAATTAGGGTACAGCATATGGAATTCCGTGAGCTCACACACGGAAAACAAAACAAATGTCAAAAAAGTGAAATGTTCTATTCTATCTCCTGAATAAACAGTTGTTTCAATGTTTCTGCATATTTTCTACATTTTTAGTGGGAGATTCTACCAAGATTGTACTAATTAATCGTATGACAGAAAAGTTGCACTAAAAAGAAGCATCAACATTACACAATCCCAACCTGACGTTCGCAATAACCTCATTCGCTTGAAATGAAAGTTTAGAAAAAATGTAACAAGATGGTGAAAAAAATACTAATTTATCTCTGAAAACAAAAAAGTTACAGCTTATCAAAGTAGCGCCCCGCGAGAATATTTTTATTCCGTCTGTACGCTACGCGTGACGTCACACTTCAGTATCTAGTTGCAACGCCTGCGGCCGATTCGAGGAGTCGAGCCGACTCAATCTCCTAAACACATGCATAGGCACACATACAGCGGGACACATGGTAGGCTAAACGTATTCCGCCCCAATTTGTTTAATTAGTTGACTGCATCGGTTATGAGCGAAATAAGAAAAAAGGTTGTTATAAATACTGTAGCGTTCCAAAATGTATGAGCACAACAATTACAGCCCCTTATAAACATTTTTTCTGCCTACCTTCACATGAAAATATAAGGAAGAAATGGTGCAAACTTATGAAGCGTTATTTGATTGGACCAAAAAGTACAACATACTCGTATGTCTGTGAGGACCACTTTGATACGAGTATATCACTTTACTATTCATTTATGATTATTAGTTATTATATGATTTACAAGCTCACTTCACTGTACACGCGGCATTTGGAGGGGAAATATTTATCAACTAACATATTTATTTCGACTCAGCGAGAATAGCTGTGAGCTACTAGGAGGGATGTCTTTTATGTTTTGCATATAGAAAAATAGTAGGCCGCGTGGATCGAACGTCAGTACTGAATCTTAACCTCACCCTTTAGTAAGCTTAAATTCAAAGTTTCACAACGATACGTGCAGTGTTCTCAGTACAGTGAATTTTTAAGTCACCAAGTCATTAGAAAAGTGGAACTCAACCGAGAACATTTTCGCGCCATAATTTATTACAACTTTCAGAGACAATTATCGCAACAAGAATGCCTTGCTGAGTTACTGTCTGTTTTCGGCAGCGAAGCGCTACATCAGTCGACAATTTACCGTTGGTATGGAGAATTCAAACGTGGACGGGTGAGTCTTAGCGACGATCCCAGGGTGGGTGCACCAAAAACGGCAGTCACCCAGGAAAACGCCGATGCTGTGCTCAAACTTATCATTGAAGATAGACATGTAACATATCGCGAGATTGAGGCGTCCTTGAAAATTTCAAAGACCTCAATTCAAATTTTACATGAAGAATTAGGAGTAAGAAAATTAGTTTCTCGTTGGATACCCCACCTGTTGACTGAAGAGCAGAAAGCTGGGTTAATTGGTGTCAAAAAACGCTTGACCCTTTCAATTCCGGAAACTCAAAATATTTGTACAGCATTGTTAGTGGTGACGAATCGTGGATTTACTGTTATGAACCAGAAAATAAACGACATTCGGCTGTTTGGATCTGCCAGCAATCGAGTGGAATAAGTGCTTCGAAAATTGGTTCGAGCGCATGCAGATGTGTATTAATCTTCGTGGAGAATACTTCGAAAGACAATAAAGTCATTTAAAACTACCTACCGTGTTGGTTTATTTCCATATGCAAAACTTAAAAGACATCCCTCGTATAGTGTCACTTACCCCCCTAAAAAGGCGTCAAGTAGGTTGACTCTACTGTGTGCATGTGCAATGTTATTATATACTTAAATGAGATTTTAGAAAAGGTTCGTATCATATTCGCAAATCTGTACTCATATGAAGCATCTACACTAATTTGTTTAAAACCTCAGTAGGGTATCGCTCGTTTTGCCGCTAGTTGTGATAGTGTAGCAGCAGACATAAATACTCACTTCCAAAGTTTCACACCTTTTATTTTCGCGGTTGTATATGATGGATTTGAAGAAATGAATTCCATCACTGCATAAATGTCAATTTTGGGCAAATTGTCACTTAACGCTTTTACAAATCCGGCTTCCATAATGGTATGAACTTACGCAGTACTCAATAGTTATCAAATGGAAACCACGTGTCCGAGCGCACAGGTGTGTCTTATGAATTGTCTATACACTAATCACTAAACGCACAGACGCTGTCGAACTCCTACGCGACGAGACGCTGGACACTAGAGAAGTGTGACGTCGGACGCGAACTAACATCAGCAATGATTTCGCGCTATAATGCGCCAAATTTAAGTATTAATTTCTCTGTCATTTATTGACCGATTTAAATAATTTTTTCACTGGTTGAGTATATTTCATCTATATTTTGCTGGAATGTCATTACTCCTGCGATTCTGAATATTACGAATCTTCTCCATTGTACTAGAACACACATTTGGCCTACTTTCCGTACGTGGGTCTACGAAATGCCAATGCCGATTCTGAATTCGGAAATCAGCCATGTGTTCGTAAACCTTGTCATGATCCAAAATTCTCCGAACATCTTGTGTTATCACTGGCCTGATCGTTAGCAAAAATACCTGCTTACTGCTATTAAAGCATATATTTGTATGTAGTGGTTCATACTCGGCATAGTGGTTTTTGCAACGTAATTATAATTTTCCATACGGTTACGAGAGTTGAGTAGAAACAATTGACATTTTATTAATTTCTTTAGGAAGTAAAAAGTGTACAAATTAAGTTAATGATTTCAGCAAAAGAATTATGCTCGATATGGTTTGCAAGAATCAAATGACTATGTAAGCGAAGATGGTTTAAAAATGCTGGCAAAAGATGATGGTAAGTAAATCATGACACCATGGGTCAGTTGAATAAAAACTTTTACTTGCAGGTTTCTTGAATTTTATTCTATTTACATAAACCTACCAAATACTTACTCTTGCTTACTAATATGCAAAGACAATCAAGATTTCGACTGTGTTTAGGTACTTGATAAGTAGTATATAATGATTTATCATGTCAATTTGTTGAAAAGTAAACGCTAAAAAGCTGAATCAGGTCATTCATACGAAAAGACTAATATTAGTAGTCGTTTTTTCACCCTATTTTACTTGGTGCTTAGATTAATGATTCATTACTTAAGGTTAAGGATATTCACTCGATTTACAGCATGTGTTTAATTTTCCGCAAGTAAAAGCATTCACTTTTTTATTCAACTAATCGAATAGTTACAACTCAAGCATCATCATGTAACTAAAGTGACATTATCGTTCGTTTTTTTTTTTGACATTCTGTAGGTTCTTCGTGACATTATGGAGGTTTTCCTAAAAGATTTCAACTAGGAAGTAGCTGTCGTTTACTTTATGCTTTTGTAGCAGTCGCGGAATGAACTGTATGCACGCTACCAGCTAGATAGTCAACAAATTGACATTTTATCGGTTTTTTGACATTATATAGGTTTTTTACGTAATAACTCTTCCAAGCGGCCAATACTTGAAAATGAGGTAGTAGGATAACTAATAAAAATTAGGCGTGGATCTATCACTTTTCGAGGAACTATTATTTAACAAACAAGGTGCAAGGGCTGCCATTGTACCTGTAAAGACGAACATGGTACCAACCTTACGAGAATTCGCAAAGCATGATTATGGCTAGTTTTCTGAATTATCGAACACGAAGTATGCCGAAATTAGCGTAAAATGGTGAACAATTGTTATATAGAAAATAGTGGATGGGCGAAAGACAAACGATAGGTACTGGAAAAGAGCTTCAATGGAAATACTGCTTTTTTGAAATAACTAAGATTTGGCAATATCAGTGTATCACAGATCATACATTTTTGGAATCAGAATTAAAAACTGTATTCATATGTGCAAAAATCCAATATGACGTCTAGAAGAAAAAATAAAGTTGATGCTGGAGGACAGGAGACGAAACGTCATATTGAAATTCTAATTATGCATTCTTGTAGAGGAGAAAAAGTAGCTAGGTTAATGTGCAAAGTCAGGAAAAAATTAAAACGATTTTGGGAAAATTTGTCTTTCTCGGGAAATACTTTGATTTTCAAAACTTTCTAGGCGGCATTATGTTGATTAAATACACAACTTTGCCCTTATTTAAGCAACTTCGTATCTCCTACAGTTTCCGAGATTCCAATGGTGAGGTTCGTCCCTGTATACACAAATGTGAGTCTCAGTGCATATTCAAAGTAACACTATATTTTAGTAGGCGGGATCTCTCCCAACACAAAAAGTTGTGACAAGTTCATATACTATAAAAAATGCCATACGGACTCCACTATGAAGACACTATTTACCTAAGCACGCCACTGAAAATGGATTTTTCTTAATAACCTCTAAACGACAGCATATAATAAGTAATACTTGCCAGCCTAGACACATTATGACTATCTTTCACATTATTAGTGATGGACTGGACCTTATGCAATATTGGCAATAATAAAAAATACAACTGATACTGGCAGACAAGACACTAAGCGTCATATCAAAGTTCTAATTATGCCATCTTGTAGAGATGTAGAGAATAAAAGCGGCAATGTTTGAAATTCAAACTTTCTAAGCGGCAGTTTCTTAATAACCGAAATACGCAACTTCGCATCGCTCGCACTTTCTGAGATACCAATGGTGAGTGTCGAATTTGAAATATCTATATCGGTATATGATTCTCATATAAATATAAATTTTACAAGTTAAATGCTCACTGGAAGTCGTTTCGTTATATAAATCATTTCTTTTGTTCAGGTCCACACATAAAAATATCAAGTAGCGACCGCAGAAGTACGAAGGGCACGAAGGTGTATTAGAAATGCACATGGCGACTAGACCTTTATTACAACATAACGATACGTAGTGTATCACGCTTTTGTACTTCTGGAGTGTCTCGTTTGCCCTGAAATTGTAATGTTCTTGGAATTTGTCTGTGTATTAAATTTCTTGTGTTTGCAATATTTCAAATTTTCGCAAATGCTATATCTTCCTAGTAAATCTTCTGAAAAGCTACATGGTACTGTGAAACCGAATCACTCTTAATAAATTAGCTACTGCTAAGGGAACACGAAACAAGGGCACGAACACGCATAGGAAATTACAATTTCCTTTTTTTATCGAATGAATGGATAATTTTGTCAGTAACAAGTGCCTTGTTTCATGAAAAGTGCATTTTTTCGTAATGTAGATGACTTTCTGCTTGACATTTTGGGTTATTGAGAAAAAACATATAGTCGTATCGCTTCACGTGACATACATACCATAAGAAAGATAAGAAGTGGATGAAGTTTACTACATGATTTTAAATAAACTACACTGTTCCAATTCGTTCGAAGAGCCACGAAGTACTGGAAACTTTTGTACATTTAGATAAATGATACAAATAAGGAAACAAAGCAGATGCTCATCGCTTTCATATTATGTTATTTTCTAGGATTTCACAATATTGCGGGTAACTCAAAAACTATTAGGGTAAAGTCGGGTATATTGTACCACCTAACGTATTTCAAGAAATAACTCCTTGATGACTTGTTTGTATTGAGCGAAACTTCGAAATAAGGTAATATGGCATGTGTCTGTCAAAATTCGCAATTTTAGATTGATGTGAATGCTCAGAGCTTAAAATAAGATGCATTTTAAAAAAATGTTGTAAACGGTACAATTTATCGAACCGGTTCGCTAAGTTGTACCAGGGGGGTTTTAAATTGTACCATGGCAAAATCCATAAGATTTTCATTGTTAGTGGAACAGGTTGGTATAGCCATAAAGCAAGACAGTGTATTATTATAATTATACATGTAATTATGAACTTACATCAAAGAGATCACAAATAAGGAACAAAGTTGAAATAAAACATAACTCTAGCAAAATAACTCAAAATAAATTAAAATGTTTATTTGTTGAACTCCTCTACAGGAATCTTAGGCACACAGGTCACAAATATACCGATTTCGGCTGGGAAATAAGGCACAGCTTTCGTGCACCCAATTTGTGCATTGATCACACCTGATCATATCCTCTATAATGCATTCCTGGCAGATGATGCAAAACCAGTCATCAGCATTTGCCTCTATAACAGCATTAGTCACCTCATCTGCTTTAGTGGGGGATCAAGAATTTCTGGATTTCATATATCTTGTCTTGGCTGTCATTTTTTCTTTTGAATTTTCATGTAAGTCTGACATTACTGCCCTTTTCACTGCACCTTTTTTTTCATTAAGCACGGTTTTTTTTCTATTTTCTAACTCGTCCTTATATGGGGTGCTTGTAAGCACTGCAGCCTGTTGGGCATTTTTGTTGATCCGTGGTTTGTTTCCCAATCCGCTAGTCCCTGCCAAGCAAATGATCTCATCAAATGAGATATTTGGGAGATCTACATTTTTTTGCTGTTGAGCATTTTTAGAATCTATTCGTCTATTCCCCCAATCGCCAGATCCTGGAAAGCAGCTGTTTCCTTCAGAGTTAATCTTTGGAGCACCGTCTTTTGACATTAGCTTAGACAGAGGGATATCGTCGTCAGAAGAATCGTCTTCATCATGTCCAATTTGGTTTTTATTCTTTCCTATGGGTAACTGAGATGAATTATTGACTAAAACATCGCTTGCTGCAAAATCTACATCTGTAAAAACATGTCTATTCACAGGCCATACTCCAGTCTTCGCAAATCCATTTATTGCAAAGCCAACAGTTGCAGATTTTCCATATGCCTCTCCTAAGAGTTTAGCAACCTGATGTTGTGTCACTGATAATCCTGGATGTTCTCGCATCCATCGTTCAACTGCCTGATCGTAGTAGACCTCCATTGGCTTAAATATTGCAACGTCTAGTGGTTGAAGCCGATTTGTGGTATGCCCTGGCAATTGTAGGAGAATTACACAATGTTGTCGAGCCAAGTTGATTGCCTCCAGGTTCTTGGAGTGTGTCGTGTGCCCATCCAGAACTAGGATCACTCTATCTTCGGGGGTGGGCTTTGGCTTCACCACTTCAATAAATTTATGTAGCCAAACCACGAATAATTCAGAGTTAATATATCCTGTGTCTGAAATTTGAACTAAGCAGCCTGGAGGGGCACCTTCTGCAAGTTCTGGCACCATCCTTTTTCTTTTAAAAATTATCATAGGCGCTACAAAGTTTCCTGCTGCATTGGTGGATACTATGAACGTGGTATTCACTCCCCGTTCGCCGCTGGCCACTGCCCCAACGTTTTTCTTTCCTTTTTTAGCAATTATTTTTTGGCATTTTTTCTGAACTGTAGAAAACCCAGACTCATCTACGTTGTAAATCCTTGTCGCGTCTATTTTATACTGATCAACTAACTTCTCTAAAATATCAAAAAAGTGATTGACATTCTGTCTGTTAAATCCCTTGCACCTAGCTAGCGATGTTGATTCCGGCTGCCTTAAAGAAAGCTTTGGATGCCTTTTCATGAAATTATAAAACCATGCTTTACCGGCTGTCCCCTTCACTTTGTTGAAATTATGTTTTATTCCATTCTTCTCTGCAAACTGATAGGCAGCTCTTCTAATATCTTGAATGGTGAGTCCAAAGAAAATTTCTTCCATTTTCAGGATTTGATTTTCTAGCTCCTGCTCTACTTCGGTGCTGAATACTTGGACCCTACCTAGTGATTTTAGTCCTTCCTTTGCTTTGACATTTGTCCCTAACAAATGCCTCTTGAACGTTGGCTTTGGAATCTGATATCTCTTGCAGATCGCATTAAGTCCAAATTCTCCCGTTTTGTACAGTTTTATTGCTTTCTTCATGTTTTCTTCGCTCCATTTTCCATATGTTAAGCCCTTGCGAGGCATGACCGGAAAATAATACAAGAGTTTGTTAAATTGTACCGGTACAAATTAGCAAACCAGCCAGTGGTACAAATTACCGAACTGGTATGAATAACATAAATATTCTTACTTCTTTTTAAAAAGTGAGGTTAGGTGAAACTTAACTCAATAAAGATCTTATAAAATGATCAATAACTACGAAAAATATAACGGCACTTAGCAGAAACTGATTATTTGGACATAAGGGCTTATCTAAGATTGTATAATACTTACTGCGTGAGGACGTGTTTCACAAAACACCAAATAACTAGATACACGAACGACCGTCAGTTGCAAGAGTTCGTTAGATACGTTTTGGCGCCAGGGGCTATCAAACAAGGTAAATAGATGGCGTTAGAGTTCTATAGTTCAGGAAATATTGAGGTGGTACAAATTAAAGACCGGTACAATATACCCGACTTTACCCTATTCTTGGACCACCGCATATGTGGATCAATGTGTATCATCACGGCTTTAGGGTACTATATACAGTATCGTTTAGAAGTGATTTAACTGAAATCAATTTTTAGTGATGCACTCTAAGGAGCTGCATCTACAGATTTCTTTATAGAAACTTGTCACAGAATTTATTGTGTTCCACGCGAGATCCCCTTCAATAAAAAATAACTATTCTACTAATTTGTACAATATTCTGTATATATCTACATAATTTTGGGTGTTTCCAACACTTATCGTTTGCGTTTTACTAATTAAATCCAATCCCTGTAACAAAACGTTCTCCATTGTTTGCTAATTTCATCACAATTCGTGACTGATAACTCAGAAACTAGCCATAATTGAACTTTGGACTAAATATCTACTAACCTGAAATTTTCCATCTTCTGTTACCTGGCCAACAATAAATAAGGCCACAAAAGTAAACTAGTCTGCCACAACAGGCTTAGTCAAAGTAGAAAATCAAAAAAATGTTAAATACATGAATTTGGAAGCTGAGCCTATTGTCGGTATGACATCTGTTTTAGTCGAGCCTATGAAACGTAATAATTATTCATGATTGTCTTTATTATTAATGACCGAAGCCCAAAAAATTCAATCGAGTTCAACACACTTTAAAGTTCTAATCTTTAAAGTATAAAATCCAGTGCTTCTTAATACGGGTGAGTTACTTGTGGAACATTCTTTTGATCTAGACACACGTAACTACCTCAATGCCAAACTTCATCCTTCCAATTTTGCGGAGATCAAGCGCTCAAAGTATTGGACCAAATTGAGAACCTCAGACTGTTTACATATGGGCACTAGAAGACTACGATTTTCTTTTTCCGACTCTCCCTCTCTAGCAGGATATTTTTGTACACTCCTAGGGGTGTACGGAATGTATTTCCTGCTGGCATAAATAAATCAAACTGAAATTACAATTGCCTATGTTTTTGAGGCCAATAAAAACAAAAATATATTTTGCCATTTTACAGAGACTGGAAGTCCAATTGCTAAGCTACTAGGGAGCTACTTGGAAGGAAGTCAACTAGTGTTGAACGTAACTGATCAACTGGGAGAAGGAATAATAGGATTAATTAAAGTGTTAATCAATAACACCAACGATTTGCCCAAAACGTTGGGAAAAATATTTCACATAGAAGTCTTAGTGAAAAAAGTTTTTAACCCTCAGCTTCAAGATTTAACAAAAAAGGTGTTGCAGCAGTTCAAGGACTTACCTATTCTTGTACAGATTTTCGATAGATTAAACAAGATTTTAGGCAGGCAAAGTAAAGATAAAGTCGACAAACATAGTGCTTGAATGTGTGTAATACCGCAAATATACATACGTTGAGATATGTGTTGTTTACTTACAAGTTACCTAAAGATGTGTATTATTTTAATCTCGCTTTCAAGTAACTCCATGGCAAATTTCTATCAGTAACTTAACCACGGTAGAGTTCTCTGAGAAGCGTACCAATTCAAACTCAATATCAAAATTTTGTAACACGTCACACAAAAGTGAGAAGCCCATAATGCTTACGGCTATGCTACGCACACAATCTCTCACTGTCTATAGCAGGGTATTATTGTACACTCCTAGGCGTACGTCAGAAGTATTTTTCATGGATCAAATAAATATAAGTACAGAAAATTTATGATGTATTTGAAGTCACTAAAAACAAAAATATATTTTGATATTTTACAGAGAAGGGAGGTCTAAGTGTTAGTCTTCTGGGACGAGATCAACAACTGTCGAACGTAACGCTTCTACTGGGAAAAGGATTAAAAGGTGTTATTGTTGGTTTGTTCAATAACACCATTCATTTGCCCAAGATAATGAAAACAGTATCTTACGTAGAAGAGTTGGTGAAAATGGTTCTTAATCCGTTTAGGAGAGTACCTATTCTTGGTCTGATTATCGGCATACTTAACTTCAAAATCAGCTTCGGGGCATGCCTCAGAGATACCATACTGCATTACTTAACCACTTTTTATAAGCTTGAAAATGAAATGGGTAAATTTATGAATTAAAGATTCCGTGTATATAATTCCAAAAATATACATACGTTGAGAGATGTGTTTTTACTTAAAAATTACCCCGGAACGTGTATCTACATTTTTTGATTCTACGCTCTTCAAAGTACCTTCGATTTTTAAACTGAATTAAATGATAGTGTCTTGGATACCAAAAATTATAACACCCCGTAGAAACGCGTGAAACCTTATAATGTTTACGACTATGCGCCGATAGACTGTAATTTATCTCGTCCTCTCTCTCTCTCTCTCAATCCCTTTCTCTATCTGTGTCTTATAGATTATTTTTCTAAACTCCCAGTAGTGTATCAACTGTAAAAATATAGATAAGCTTCACTATATTTCAAACCAACAAAAATATATTTTAATATTTTACAGAGAAAGGAGGTCTAAATGGTAGGCTTCTGGAAGGAAAGAAAGAGAAAGAGCTGTTGTCTAACGTAACTGAACTACTGGGAGGAGGAATAAAACACTTGATTGGTAGTTTATCTAATAACACCATAGATTTGGACAAAATATTTAACTTAGAGGATCTGAGAATGGTTCTTAAGCAGTTTAAATGCATACATATTCTTGGCTTGTTTTCCAGTAAATTTTATCATCGGCCTCAAAAGATGCTTCAGAAAAGCAATAAAAGAGTATTTCACCACTGTCTGGGGCCTTCAGTGCAAAAAGGAAATAAGATCTACAGTTTAATGCTTCAATGTATGTAATACAGGGAATATACATTTCGAAAGATGTGTATTTGCTTACGAATTACCTAGAAAAAAATGATGTATCAAAGAGGTTATCGCACTTACGGTCGCAAATAGTTGCTGAGACCTAAATGTTGGAAAGTTAACAGACATTCTAAGTAGGTATTTTTAAAGTTGAGAAAACTACTGGTATATTTTCGTCGATTTTGGCGGGTCACAGTAAAACTGCCAGTGTCACTTTCATACCTCCACCTTCTTCAAACATAAATAGAATCTATCTTTATTTGTGAACTGTCGGATACTCAAAAAATTAACGTAAGAAATCTATAAAAATTTGGATGCATAGTATAATTCGACTCAAATACTTCCAAAATGGTGGCACTTCAGGTTATATCGGAAATAGATACAAACTTGCTTGTTTATTGTATCATTCAGTTTCTAGCAAACCGAATGAAGCATTTAAGCAACGGAAAAGCCTATAATATCCCGGAAACTACTAGTTTGCAAAATAGACAATATTATACCATAACAACCTTATTTTGAATGCTCCATACGATGAGATTATAAAAAATGTGCTTTCCATTTAAAAGAACTGACCTTTCGGATTTTTTTAAATCTTAATTTCATTCTCATTTTTGACCGCCATGTACTCTTTGTTAGCTGAATCTGGAATAAAATCTATTAAAGTAGGTCTCCTGCTATAAGAAACCCGATGAAAATCGTAAGTCCCGGAAAAATTGTTACAATTCGTTATTTTTACGTACAATTTGAGAAATATAAGCAGTCAGACTTAGGTATAAGATGCTATGTATGTAATGTTGGATGCTTTGACGTAGCGACTACGGATACTATAGGGTTTTACAATTTGCCAAACCGGTTTCTGAATACCCGACACGACTAAACTTGAAACTAAAATCCCAACATAAATACATACTACCTAATATATTTCTTCACTTCAGTGACGAATTTCGAGCCTCTGGCTGGTTCAACATGCATGAGCGCTTTTTGATACATCTTGCTTGCTTAACTTACAATATTAACAAAACCCAGCTGCCACTTTATAATATAATATATATAATATAACTCAATATACCATTTAAACATACAAGGAGTCCTGAATAATATAGATGAAGTTCAACAGTTTTTAAGATGGAGAAAACCACTTGTTTTATGTCTTACCGAAACACATGCTACAGAAGACATCACTGATGGTGAATTACAAATTACTAATTATAAAACGTACAGATGCAACTCCAACTCCAGACATACTGGAGGTGTAGTGATTTATGTTTACCACAAAATACAGATCACATTATTCGATTGTACCACTTTAGACTATGCATACTGGTATGCACATATACAGTTCAAATTATTTGGGAAACGTTATGATCTTTGTACTTTTTACCGTTCACCAAACAGTGATGCAGATACATTTTTAACGTTTTTTGAAGTAAAAGTGCGAAGAAATGTGGAATTTTAGAAACAATATAATACTTTTAGGTGATTTTAATTTAAATTATTATGGTAAAAGCATGAAAACAAGAAAATTGAAAGAAACCATAAACAACTATGGGTTCAAGCAAAAAATTGAAGAGAGTACCAGAATAACATCATTATCAGAGACTTTGTTAGATCTTGTTATTGTGAATTTCGAATGTGCAGGGATTAAAGCTGTACATACACCTAAAGTTAGCGATCACATTTGGACAATGCTGCCCTTGGTAGGGCATTTTTCTGATACAAAAATTAAGAAAATCGTAAATACTATTAAGTACGAAAAACTTGAACGAGAACTTGCTGGCTGCTATTGGAATTTTGGTGAGAATATAGAAAAAATATATGACAACATAATAGGAAATATAAAAACTTGTTTAGATCTTGCAACTGATAAAAAAGTGATTTGCTCGACAAAAAATACACCCTGGTATAACAAGAATATTAAGGCAGCTCAAAATTTGAGAGACAAACAATACAACAAATGTATATTCACAAAATCAAATGATGATTGGGAGGTATATAAAACTCTTAGGAATAAATGTGTATATGTAATTAGAGAAGAAAAAAGAAAATTCTACGATAAACAAATCGATAATAACAAGTGCGACAGTGTAAAGATGTGGAAGACTTTAAAAAGACTGATCAATTCGAAGCCGCATGATTGTGTAAATCAAGTTCAATTCGAAAACGGTACCGAAACAAATTCTTTGGTGATTGTAAACAAACTAAATGAATATTTTGTGGAAAGTATTGTTGATATTGTAGGTACTGCCAATGCTGCACCTGACTATATGAAAATCAGTTTCCAGGGGGAAATGTTGCATACACTTTCAAAATTTCACAGCGTATCATTGAATTATCTAAGAAAAAAAGTAAACAGTTTAAAATCAAATAACAACTGTGCCGAAATGACTACTAAAAACGTGCTGAAAAACTGTTTCGAAATTTTGGGATATCCTGTATTAAATTGGATCAATTGTTCACTGGGAAGCAGTTCTTTCCCTGAAAATTTGAAATGCTCTACAATAACACCAGTTCCCAAAATAAAAAATTCTAAAAGATGCAGCGATATGAGACCAGTAAATGTGTTACCAGACATTGAAAAATTATTAGAGTCCATAGTGCATGACCAATTAATGCAGTTTATAGAAGAAAACAAAATTTTAGTGGAGGCGCAAGCAGGCTTTCGAAAAAAATATTCCACAGAAACAGCTTTCCAGTTGGTAACTGAGAATTGGAGAAGAGCCATAGACTCAGAAGAAGTTGTCATAGCAGTATTTTTGGATTTGAAGAGGGCATTTGAAACGATTGATAGAGATATTTTGTTAGGTAAATTGAAGGCATATGGTATAACAGGAAGTGTTTTAGATTGGTTTAGAAATTATTTGTCTAAAAGGATGCAAGTTACAAAAGTTAATGACACTATTTCATCAAAAATTGAAAATACGTTGGGTGTTCCACAGGGCAGTATCCTGGGACCACTTCTTTTTATTTTATACATAAATGATTTACCTGCCATAGTCAAAAAATGCAAAATTCAAATTTTCGCCGATGACACTATGATTTATATAAGTACTAAAAATATTCAGTCTGGTATCTCTTATATAAATGAAGACTTGAAGCTTGTCTCAAAATGGTTAGCATCTAACAGACTAAAATTAAATCCAAGTAAAACGAAAGCCTTGTTAATCGGAAAAAAACAATGTACAAATGTTCAACTGAATATTGATGGTGAAAATATTGAATTCGTAGAAAATTTTAAATACCTGGGAGTTTTTGTTGACTCTCGGTTAATTTTTGATATTCATTATGAAAAAGTTATAAATAAGATTAGTAGTAAAGTGGGATATTTATCGAGAGTTTCTGGATGTCTGAGTTCATATAGCAGAAAAATTATCTATAACACCATCATTCTTCCAAATTTCTTGTACTGTTCGACTATTCTATATTTAGCAAATAATTCCATTTTTGAAAGACTGCAAATTTTACAAAATAAGTGCATGAGAATAATACTAAATAAAGATAAATATACTCCAATTAGGCAAATGCTTAGCAAATTAAATTGGCTCAATGTAAAAAATTTTATCAAATATCTCGTAATGATATTCATTTATAAAGTAAAAAATAATATATTTCCATCAAGTCTAACTAATTTAACATCATCAAATGTCGACCATCATTTACATAATACCAGAAATAAAGATGACTTCCATTTAATGACCAAAAAGTATAACATATGCTACAAATCTGTATTCCATCAAGGGTTGATTGAATATAATAAATTATACTCGGAGATAAAAGACCAGAAAACGTTGACAAAATTTAAAGTAAAATTGAGAAATCACTTGTTAAATCTACAATTATAGGTTGCCCAGCATTTACATCATACACCATATGGCTTGAATTTACTAGTTCTAAGTTGTTTACAATTGTTCTGTTTATGTAGCCAAATGTGCTAAATAAATCTTTCTACTACTACTACTACTACTTTACCTATATACCAAACTTGTTAAGAGATCGGATGTAATCTCTATGATGTTCCGTTACATAGTACTGAACAGTTTAAAAACTCATTTACTTATGTTGCATCTACCATGTATAACTCATTGCCAGATGCAGTAAAAGATTCGATCTCAATTAGCAGCTTCCGAAATAGAGTCAAATCCCATGTGAAAAGAGCACAATAGTTAGTTTTATTTTTGTTGTATTAATTACACCCATCATTATTCGCTCATTATCATCTAATTGTTAGTATTGTATTATTTACGGGGGTTGCATGGAAGAGCAACTATGTTGAATGCCGCCTCCCTCATCAAATGAGTTTTTTTTTTTTGTTTGTTACAATTTATCTAAAAAATAAAGACATATTATTATTATTATTATTATTATATACAAGCCAAACGTAACCGCATCACCAATCAGATTCGTGATGCCGCCACCTTTCCGAATGACACGTTACAAGTACCCGTCACCGTTGAGCAACTAGACCATACAACAAGCTGTTAGAAATGGGACCTCTGTCCTTGCTAGGTTTTGATATGCGTCCAGTTTCTTTAGGTTCCTAACATTACGGACCAACTTTAAATTAGTTATATCTAACTTATGTTCCTTATTGAACAAGTGTTCTCTCTATTCTGCAATGTCGTAAATCAGCCAAGTGTTCCTTTAACCTAAACTTGATAAGTCTCATATACCCTATTTCATGAGTATCCACATCTACTGAGGTGAACACCTGATCAGCAAGTGACATGTTTGTAACGTTGGCAATAATGAATCGGGTATAAATCTAGTAAAACGTGTTTCTGACGTTTTGTTTTTTGTATGCAAATGAACTTTTCTAAATCAAAGAGCTGTTAGGAAGTACAAGATGAAGCTGCAGCGTACAAAAAAACAAAACAAAATACGGCTCTGTCTACCTGGCGTGAATTAGGGTATATATACTCTACTTCACGAGTATCCATCACGGTAGAATGACAGTCGATTATCTAGTAATATCTCGAAATTCCCCATAACGGCACAGGACGCCTAAATCTGACGGATCCGTCAACGCCAGGTAGTCAGAGCCGTATTTTTTGTACGCTACAGATTCATCTTATACTTGCTAACAGCTCTTTTATTTAGAAAAGTTAATTTGCATACAAAAATCAAAACGCTACAGACAAGTTTTACTAGATTTATACCCGATTAATTGTTGCCAACGTTGCAGAGTAACACAAAAGTGTCACTTCCTGATCAGCTGTTCACCCCAGTAGGCGTCAAAGTGTGATGGATACTCGTGAAATAGCGTATCGTAGCGCTTTTTCTTTGTAAAGAAATGAACTTTTTTAAATAAAAGAGGTGTTAGCAAGTACAAAATGAATCTGTAGCGTACCAAAAAACAAAACAATTATTACGTGACCTGTGCCGATATAGGGAATTTTTAGATATTACTAGATAATCAGCTGTCATTGTACCGTGATGGATACTCATGAAATAGGGTATAGTTTGCCCAGGACATTAAATAAAATCTCTACAGCTGATTTTATAAAAACAATTAGTATTGCCAGGAAATGAATGAGCAGGACGGCCCTTATTACCCAGTTCATGTGTGCAATAACGAGTAGTAGCTGTGTTAAAGAACGGTTTGCACATAGTGCGCTTTCCCTTAGTTAGGAAAAATAAGCTACCCCCATGACACAGTCGAGCGAAGAATAAAGATGAGTTGCTTCGCCCATCGTGGTACTACCGACTCTTACGTAAACCAGCAGAAAATCAGTTTCCCGGCCTCTTAGACCAACAGTGCCAGAAGCCAAATAAGGACGTCCACTGTCTAGGCATCCCATCGTCACTCAGGAGAGCACTAAGTACTAATATGTTTAATCGTGTTTTAATTTTAGATCCGAAAGCTGACAACTGACAGTTTTACCAAAGCAACACACAATAACGTAGTTCTAATGAGGTATTCTGTAATAGCACATTGTTAGTGTTTTTCTGAAAACATTTTGGTTGTTCTACACCTAATGATCCCTACAGCATGTATACGTTGGATCAATCCTTGTAATTCAATGGAACCTATCTAAATCTGGGACGCTCTCTATAATGGTAGAATTGCTGTCTTCATCTGCCATAGCGGGGCTTTCATCATCCTTCCCAATTTTAGTTGCAGTTCTGGCAGAGTCTGCATTGCTGGTGGAGGATCGAATATCTTCCGACCCATCCGGCTCCACGTTCATTTTTTCCCTCGCCTTTTCTATGAACTCTTAGCCTCCAGAGCAAGGAAGTCCCTCTAAGACATAGTTGATTTCACCAAAAGAAAGAAATCAGAGGGGTTAGGACCTCTGTACCTTCTGGAAAAACAGTTACAACTGTCGGAAGAAGTCAAATACCTGGGGGTAATACTAGACTCCAAACTAACCTGGAACCCGCAGATCAAACGCTCTCATGGCAAAACATGGAGATTAAGCCCTTCCATGATGCAGTGGACGTACATAATATTGGTAATGCCCCTGATGACTTATGCATATCTGGTTCTTCGTGACGGTGTTCCGAAGAATGACAGTACCGCGCGCGGTTGCCGCGTCAAATGTGTGCGCGCCGATATAAGTACCATGACTACAAATTTTTACGCGTTTTTTCCCGCTAGCCATCCTGTAACAAGTCGCGGTTTTAAAACTAGTCGTAGTGCGGCATAAGCCTAAATGCCTCCAGTACAACGGTGAAAGAGGTTTTAGTGTTCAACAGCAGCCGGTGTTGCCATGTACCATGTCAGCGGCCACAGATATTCTTTGTAAACTTGAAATTATATGTTGGCATGTTGTGCAGTTTGTGTGAATCAATAATAAAAAGGAGTATGTTTGTCTAAAAAGAGGCGACGGAGTATTAATGACTATTTATTTATGGCAGAGCTCCAAACATATGTAATGGTGGAAGTACTTAAATAAACGGAAAAACATTTACTTTTGCCATGTATTCTTCGCTGCTGCGATATTCTCAATCTATTACATGTTCAATGTAAACACTGTTAACTGCAAGTTTTAAGAAACATTATTCATCACTAAGACTAAATCATTCGCACGAATATTTTTTATCTTCGTTCATTCTAAACAAAACAGGTCTTAATAATAAATAAAGATAAATTCTTTCCAAGGTGGACGGCTCTGGTATATGGATATTCCATGCCATTTAAAAAAAGTATGCTTGCGTCATGTAATTATGAATCGCCATGTGGAGAGCGGCATGTTTTCCAAGTAAGGTGTGCATATTACAGTTGCGTATAATTTTTATGAATAACTTTTTTTGGTATTTGAAGAACCGGAACTACCGACCGCTTATACATTAAAAACTATCTAGGATAGCAACCTAGCTGAGGAGTTATAAAAAGTGTCAGGTTTAGTTGTCAACTTGATGGTGATTTGCTCTTTTTTCCCGCAACAAATACACGGAAATTCTTGTGATTCAGTAAATGTTGTGTTTTTAACTTTTACATGGAAAATTGAGAATATCGTAGCAGCGAAGAATATATGGCAAAACCAGCTATGAAACTCTTCTGTCAATGTCAAAAACGACCGCCATTTCGGCGGAGAAAGTCGAATGTAAATTCCCCCAGTGCAATGATGAAAGAGGTTTTAGTGCCCAGCAGCAGCCGGTGTTGCCTCGTATCAAGCCAGCGACCGCAGATATTCTTTGCAATTTTAAAGTGATGATTTTTCGACATGATATAGTGTACTGGCTGCTGCTGAGCACTAAAAACACTTTCATCGTTGTACTGGGGGAATTTACATTCGACTTTCTCCGCCGGAATGGCGGCCGTTTTTCACACGAGAGTTGCATAGCTGATTGTTACCTAATCTGTGGTAACACCGTATACAGTAATAGAATGACAGATGAAATTTTACTCTGTAATACTCTGAAACTTTATTTTTGGAACGCCTAAATTATTACAGAGTTATGAAATGACACCTGATTACAGCCGACTAATTTCTAACCAGGTTATCTGCGACCATTGTGTTTACTGTAAAAAACCCTATAGATAGGAGGTAGCCCATTTATAGTGAAAAATATAATATTCTGTCAATTTCAAACACTTTTTGATAACCAAATAAAGTAAACAATGAACCATGAGAATCACAAGGTTTCTAGAATGGGTGGGAGTGCACTTTTGACGTTCCAGAAGGATTACTTTGTTCAGTTTCCAGACGCATGGAACGGGTACGTCAACTAAATTAAGAAGGCTGAAATTGTTAGTACAGGTGTTTCAAAACGTCGTGAGCCATGACCGTTAGACATGCGCGAATTCAAATCTGTGGAGAAGCGGGCGAAGCAGACCCGTCACAATACAAGTATTGCTAAAAACATAACTCATTCTAGGGCTGCTATAGATCAGTCAAATTTTTTCGGTGATTTTTGTCACACTCCTATTTTTTAAATAATTTGGTGTGGTGATACAACATAATATAAATTAACTACAGAACGCGTATTCTTTAACGGAACATTGAAAATGATATTCCTTTAATTTGATTCAATTACAAAACGTTATTTTCCTACTATTTAAGTGTTCAATGACGTGCTTAGAGCTAATATAACTGGCTTATAATCGTGCCTCATTTATGTGTTGCACCGTCGTCGCGTCGGTGGCGTGGTACGGAATCAGTAGCGTAGGTAGCTGGTACCTGACAAATCAATTATGGAAGAAGTAAAACTGGGTTATTTAGTATGGGAAGGTGGTAATCACCACTTTTCAAACCTGATTTGAAGAGAAGTTATGCATTCGGTACAAAGCCTTTTTTCTCCACAATGCAACACAATTACTTGTTTTCCCTTGACCAGTGGTGCTTGCAGACAAGTATTTGGCCCATCATCCCGGGACTTTGGCACTGTATGAGAGCTGTGAATGTATCATTGCTGTATCCAATGTTCCTAACTGCGAAAAGGCTTCCTCTAGAGCAAACTGTTACTTTTACAAACTTTAAGGAAATTATTTTGAAAACAAAAATCTGCGGTAAGTATGCGGTCTTTCATTTGAAATCATTGTTCAATACATTTTTGTTAAAGCATACCTATATATACAGTATACAATAATTTTTGCTGTAGTTCATGTACCTTAACGCTCAAATTTTATATTTCTTTGGTCAAATGTCCAATAAAAAATGTTCAAATACATATAAAGTAACTCATCTATTAAGGTTTATGACAATTTTTTGATAGATATCGATATTGCTGAATGGACTGAAGACATATCATAACTAGCATTTCCTTGTATTTCTTCAATTTCCTTAAAAAATCCAATCCGTTTTAAATGAATGTCTTGTTTTTGAATCAATAGTTTCCAATTATCTTCCACTTTTTTCCAACAAAAACCTAATTTATGAAATTTTTTTCTGAAGGATCTGACTTTCCCTGCAAGGGGGATAATTTTTTCCAGCTTCATAAACGCCTTTAATGGTAGGCCGCCGCTTATGAATATGGACAAATTCATAAATTATTTCCCTTATCTCTGACTCAAACCTGTCCACTGTTGATTTCGGACTTGGTTTAGAAACAGTTTTTCTTGGGGAGACAAATTTATTGCTTGTGGGTTTGGTCGAAGCTTCTTTCACATTGCGTTTGACTGTATTGAGTGATACACCTAGGTCCTCTGCTACTCGATTCGTCAGCTGATATACAGGTAAAATGACTTCCCCTTTTCACGGCTCATAAATTGAAAATTATACAATCTAGCAGCCCTGGCTATGAACAACCTTGTGCTGGTTCTTATCCCTTTTAAGAAAAAATATAGATCTGTGTAAAATTATCATATTGAAGTTCACGTTTCTCTGAGAAAACGTTCGTAAATAAAATGTGAATAGAAGCATGTGGTAATACGTTCCAATCGATCTAGGAGCAACATTTGAATAACATAATTAAACGCATAAACATTACATCTCGGATTATCAAAGCTTTATACATGAACAAGAACAATACCAACTTCAATACTAACGCTGTTTCATTCAATAATAATTCATCTACAATCGCCGAAACTTTTACACTCATATATTGAATATAAAAAACAATCTTCACAACCCTGGTCTAACATAACGGAAATCCAACACACAAAATCGTAATCTACACGCGCTTGCCAATGAGTACCGATAGTTCTCCCTTGGCTGTTCAAAGCCGAGTGCTAGCGTGCCAGAAAAAGTCTATATTTGTGGTTAGGGTAATATTATTCCCGCCGCTCAAATATGTCTTCTGCGCATCCACATAATGTAACGGTCACGGCCCACGAGGTTGTAAAACACCTCTTCACTACACTCTGTATCAATTCCCGAACGCAGTCCTGTGAGTTTTCCAGCGAATAAAACGTGCAAAGTTGAAAAGCATTATTAATATATACACATGTACATAATTATAAATAAAACATTTATTCATCTATCAAAAGCTGCGTAACACTTGAGTTATATGGAACTGGCAAATGTGTTTTCAATTCAATTCTATCTAGCCATTTGAAGTCCACTTTTCTGTCTGTTATTTGTCCATTGAGATACCTGGCGAAATAAATAAATACCTGAAAAATACAACATTTTTATTCATATTGCTATTATTAATTGTAATAAGCAGCCTCATATGCGTGCAGCCTAAAAAGATTGCAGATAATTTTACATGTTTTCTCATCTTATACTTCAAGAGAAAGTACAAATTTTACGCATCAGGGTACAAAGTTCATGGCAAATGCACACTGAGATTTCACGAGGAACCCAAATGTCAAATAAAGTTGTTTGGTATGAATTATCTGTGTCATCATATAGTTTATAACAGTATCATTAAAATATAATGTTGTTGTATTAAACAACTTTTGAAACAGTTCTCTGTAGAATATCTAAATCGTTCATACATACCAAACATGCAGTCTCCTGTGACAGTAACACCATATATTAAAAGAGGCTCAGTAAGAGCACGATATATGATATGCACATAATTTTCTGTTAAGGTACATGTAAAAAATTCAAATTTGCTTGCCACAAATCTATTTTTTTCTCAATATACGAATATTTTTGGCCCTCCTTGGGTATGAGTCCATGAAAGTCCCTAGGTATTAACGTTTCATGCTGCATTTTTTTTTCTTTTTATCATTCATATTAAAACGACATTTACATCAAAACATTTTGTGTAATAAGTCAAATGACATTACATTAAAATGCTGCAATTGTGGTAGCCCATAACTGTCTATATTAGAATCTAATTCAATTAGAAGTATAAAATATTGTTTAAATTACCTCATTCATTACTTAGTAAATAAGTTTGACATGATATATTTACCTTCGCTCCAGTAAGACCTGTTATTTCGGAAGTACTTTTTGGATATTTATATTTGTAGAAACCGCAAGGAGCATTTCCATATATTTGGGCACTTAAATCAGAACCACAACATTGCTTTAAAACTCGTTCTGCAGCCTGAAAGAATCAAATAGAAAACCATAAAGCAAATCTCTGTTTCACATTCCTACGATATTAACAATTAGTATTGTTAAAAATCTATACTAACCTGTCTAAGAGTTTCTCCATCTTGAAGTGTGCCTTGAGGTAACAAGTAGTGCTTTTTATCTCCCAATTGTTGATTAACGACTAATACCAGGTGTCTATCAAGTTTTCTTTTGAGTGATTTCATATCGTTCTTTATATCGGCATCTGAAATTGATATCCAAAAATCTAAACATGGCTGTTGGCATTAAAGATGCAAATGCAAAATGATATACAAGGTAACATCAATAATAGATAGATAATGGATCATGCAGCATCTATATGGAGTTAGTTTTATTAAAATTAACATCACAATGCCGGTGAATGTTATTCATTCACTGATTTTTGACGCGTCACAGTACAATTGTCGGTATCACAATCATATTTATCTCGCTCACACATGCACATCCAGTCTACCTCTTGGAGCAGACATTTGTTTGTGTAAAATCGCAGACATACGTTTTTTAGTTTTGTCCCAGCGCCTTGAATTTGTCTTTTCGTTCTTATTCTAGAACTATACTTGTCAATCTCAAAGTGACAACTAACTTGTCATGCGCGTACCATTTGATTCAAGACACATTGATGCAGAATCTTTGGCCATGAGGTCAGGTAGTACAAATCTGTCAGTTATATTTCGCACGACATAGCCACGGTTATTACGTAAAAAACTTATATAAAGTAAAAAAAATCGGTAACATGTCACCTTGTGCACTAGATACCCGCTAGTGTTAGTGTACCGCTAGTTCATTATGCGCCTACTACATGTGAGCATGAAGTGAATGTCAACTTGTTAAAAGGTGACATTTTATAGAAAAACCTGCATGATTTAAAAAACTCAATTCAATGTCACTTTTTAAGTTACGTAATACGGGAGCGGATTTTTCTGAAAATAATTCGTTTTCGTATGCTATTTTCATTGTTACTTTGTATGTGGTATCATAAATGAACATGGTCGTATGCCCTAGTGATATACTGTAGGCGATCAGCTGAGGGTATCAAAAAAACGTGTAGCAAAACATTTTCACAATGAAGTATACAGAGTGTTTTTTCTTATTTGACCGGCGAAGGCTTTTTGTGAAACAACTATTCACTTCCACGTACACATTAGTATACTGGTCAGGTCTTTGAGATCTTATACCTTTGTGAGTGAATTTTAAAAATTCCGCTTTTAACCATATACGAGTTAAAGAACACCAATTATTTTTTGTTCTGCACAATTTGGATTTTTTATAATTTGATGCCTAATCCCAGCGCGATTCAATACGCCATATTGTTTTTGACCGTCTTGTAGTCGTTTTTGAATTAAATATATACATTAAAATAGAGTTAACTTAGATAGAACTGAATGCAAATGAATGGGACTAGTGACATTTCGACTGCACTGGTCGGGCTACATCTCAAGGCATACAAAAAGAATTATCTTGTAGGTATTCATATTTTTAGAAACAGACAAGCAAGAGAAGAAATAATCTCTCAGAGGGCACTGCTCAATAGCGCCTTGTCTAAACAACGCCATCAATTAGGTCTAGCTCCGCTGTAAGTGGATAGGATGAAACGCAATTAATCATTGCATGTTTCCGAGAGAAGACTCTCAGCTGAGACAAATTTGTATAAAATTTCTGTATGGGAAGACATGCCAGCCAGATAACACTAGTACCATATATCCAAAACATTTTTCCAAAAAATGATGAAAGAGGACATCAGAGAGCGTTCATTTGAATATAGATCCAATTACCATTATAAAGGATGAGGAGGATATAAAGAGGTCGTCCTTTTTCATCATATAATTTTTATTGAACTAGTGTTTTTCAACACACTAATATTAATTTATTCTTGACGTAGGCAGGATACATAAATTCTGAATTCTTTTTGCTGAATTGTACGCTTATACGTTTTGCTGAGCATAACTGTCTAAGAAAGGTGGAATGTTGAATATCGGTACCTCTAATGGGCCAAAATTCGCTAATTGTGTTAGGGGCCGTTCAAGTATTACGTGAGCACCATTGGGGGGGCGGGGGTCTTTGCTTTGCTTATTTTGGATGACATGAGGGGGTAGGGGAGTCTAGATGATGATTACGTCATCGGTAGTTATTTACTTTTTTACATGAATGGCAACCCTCACATTGTCTTTGCTTGAAAACGAAACGCATTTTCGGGGATTCCCGCAAATAATGCATACGTTTAGTGAACAGCGCGCGGTAATTCCCCTACTCGCTTTAAAACCGAGTAGGGGAATTACTGCGCGGTGTTCACTTGTCTAAATTTCCTCTATCAGTGTATTGTTTAGTTTGGATACTATATCGAGTAGAAGTATTGTAAGCATAGTAAAGCAAGTTAACATTTGTTACCATTGATTCCATTAGCCAAAGTTTAATGTTTAAATAAGATATCGTTTCACATAGACAAATCCAAGTTATACCAAAAATTGTTTGAAAGTTTTAAAAAATCTCATACAAGTACGAAAGTACAAAATGTACAAAAGTTAGTTAACGAAGTGTGGCGAAATTACAAATGACAAGCAAAATCCGACAAGGAACTAGATATTATTGTATCTAAGAGAATCGAAGAAGAATTGCAAGCGGCGACTAAGAATAAATCCAATCTACTAAATTTTTTTTCTAAGGTGAGTGACGAAATCCTTTTTAGTGTCCTATGAGTACTAGAAATATTACAAATCCCCAAAAAGTTTCTCTTCACTGATTAGAAAATATTATGGCCTATCTCAAAGTATAGAGGTAATATTCATTATATTATAGATTTATTTATTATGATTGATTCCGTCAATTGGTCACAAAGTACAGGATGTTAGTTTTATACTTATATACAGAAAACTAACACCCTGTATTTTGTGACCGGAACGAATTGCTCGTTTAAACATATTAGATTTAAAGCCATCGGGTTTTGTATTTACCATATATATTGCCATACTTTGTATTTATGTAGCTTAATAAGGGAATCTTTAGCAGAAGCCACAGAAAGTTTTTATTTTTAGGCAACCTGTAAACCTGCAGATAAAACACAAATTACACAGTCAGCTTCAAATATTAAAAAGGGGAAGAAGATAAAATAAAACATGGTAATGAATCACAACAGCAATGCGAAATTAATGAAAATACAGATAGACAGAGAGCAAAACCTTCTCAGGAAGCTATGAAAAATAAGATTGCTCTACTCGAAAAAAATCTGAATGCTTTGTATTCTGCCAGAGATACTATGCCAAGCCGTGCTGAAGTTGATAAACAGATCATTAAGTTGCGCGAGGAAATAAAAACAGCAAAACAGTCTTTAAACAGGAAGGTTCAAAACTCAGTTGCCCAGAAGAAACACAGGGATGGTATGAAAAGAAAGTTAGAAGGTATTTGTCATGAAAATCCAGAAATAAAAAAAAGACTATCTCTGGGGGATTCAATGGGACGTCCTAATCTTGAAAGCAATCAACATTCACTATTGAAAACAATCGTGGATATAGCTTTATTTGGGAGTGCAGCAGATGATAGAAGACGAACGGAATCAATTCGCAGCGTAAAAACTCTTGATGAACTCACACAAGAATTACGTAAAATAGGATTTGACATTAGTCGCAGTGGGACATATCTTCGTTTGATTCCCAGAAAATCTAATTCTGCAGAGGGACGAAGACATGTATCGACAGTCCCTGTTAAGCTCATTCGGGCTCAAACTGATCACCACAAGAGCCACTTAGATAGCAAGTTCGCTGAAACATCAATCCATTATTTAGAGAACATAGCATCCATACTTGGACCAGATCAAGTATTTTTCATATCTCAAGTCCCTATTGGCGTAACTGCGGCAAATAGGCAAGCATCTCTTCTAATGCACATGGAATACAGAATCAAATTGCCTGATCACGAAAGCATAGTCCATCTACTGCTAATACTCATGCTCAGGATTTCGAGACGCTTCTCGAACTTGAAGAGTTTCGACCATTATCTCAAACTGTCCATGCACTAGTAAAACCAGTGGTAATCATGACGGTTGATGGAGGGCCAGATGAAAATCCACGTTATCAAAAAGTCATAGGGTTTGCTATACAACACTTTAAGCGACATGATCACGATGCATTGTTTTTAGCTACCAATGCTCCTGGATAAAGTGCGTATAACAGAGTAGAGCGCAGAATGGCTCCTCTTAGTCGGGAACTGGCTGGTTTAATATTGCCTCATGACCATTTTGGGTCTCATTTGGATGAACTTGGCGTTACAATTGATGAATATTTAGAAAGAGCTAATTTCGAATTTGCAGGAAATGTATTAGCTGAAGTATGAAGTTCAATGGAAATTGATAGCTATAATGTTAATGCAAAATATGTTGGGGCAGGTGAACAAGATCTTCCTGATTTTCCAGATATTAAATGGTATTCAGAACATGTGCGTGAGAGCCAATACTTGCTTCAAATTGTAAAATGTAGAAATACAGAAGAAGTGGCCTCTTTAGATTACTAGACAATAGGTTTCTTCCACCACCTGTAAAAGTAAAACAAACAGTTGCTGACTTGGTTTTGGATGAAGGAGGGCAATTTCTTAATCTTCCAGTCAATTTAGCTCTACGCTTAAGTGCTTCAAAGATTTCCTGCAAATGCCCTATGATTATTTTTGTCCGACGGTAAAATTGAGGCTATCAAGTCGAATATGCAAAACGTGTGGTCTTTATCATGCTTCCGTCAAGTCACTAAATCGTCACATCGAAAATAACCATAACAAAGTAAACACGCACACTGATAGGAAAGTTAGACCTGTAAGAGTCGCTGCTCGTCGTGCTAATGAACTGATGTGCATTATTCAAAATTTAGAGCACCATGATGTTGAATGGCTCGATGAGAACGACGTAGACATTCCAAAATCCGATGAAAGCGAGCAAACTCACAACACTGAGCAGCAATCGAAGCAATCCAATGTCATCGAAAACTTAGAATCATAGATTCGGGTTTCATGGACTGAAGACTGTTAATTTGAATTTAATATAAAGGGTTTGTCCGGAAAGTAATAGGACTGAGCCGATTTAAAAAAATTTATTGAGTCAATCGTTACAATTCTTTAAAAACTTTCAAAATAGTCTCCTTCTGCGTCGATGCAGCGCTGCCAGCGCGAGTTCCAAGCATTGAAGGCGTCACGGAAGGCATTCTCCGGAATAGCCTTGAGAGCCGCGGTGCATGCTGCTTGGATCCCCTCTGTCGTCTCAAAATGCTTGCCTTTCATCGGCCTGTTCAGGCGAGGAAACAAAAAAAGTCCGGGGGGCCACATCTGGGCTGTAGGGCGGCTGTGGAAGCATTGGGATGCCGGCCTTGGTCAGGTAGCTGTTCACAAGAAAGGCGGTGTGAGCCGGGACGTTGTCGTGGTGTAACTTCCAGTCGGCTGCGATGTCTTGTCGGACCCGACTGACCCTTCGTTTGAGTCTCCTGAGCACTTCCACGTAAAACTTGGCGTTGACGGTTTGTCCAGGAGGAA